TTTATAACTGAAAAATGAAACCCTAAATATGACTTACTATGATTTAAATTTTAGAGTTGGGAAGTCAGCAGAGAAGATCCTGTATATGTATGTGTACATGTATATATGTGTGCTGATAAATATAAAAACCTAAATTAAAACTCATATATATATATTACAAAAATATACGAAAAATAGTTATAAACCTAAGATAACTATAGTCATGATAGAATAGTCTTAGCCACAGTAGTACAAGAGCAAACTTCTGGCCTTAGGAACCAGGATTGCAGGTTTAAACAATGTTTTTCTGCCAGCCACCCTTCACCTGAATTTGCCAATACTCTGGGCCATAGGGAAAGTAAGAAATTTCTAGAGAAGTTTAATTATTATTATAAATAAAACCCTAATCTGTTAATGCAAAGCGATAATATTACAGCCTGTAATAATTACTAAATTATTTTAAAATAAAAGTTAAAACTATTAGATAGACTATAGTTTAACTATAGATAGACTAAAACTATATATATATATAATATATATATATACACACACAACACACACACACACACACATATATATATATATATATATATATAATATATATACGAGGGTCACTTTGAAATTTTTGAAATACGCCTAGGTTTTTAAAGTTATACTTACAAAATTTTAGGAGTGCTCAAAATAGTCTCCTCCAGCATCAATTCACTTTTGGAGACAAATTTTTGATAAATTAAGTTAGCATTAGCCTTCTAATATTTATTTCTTGGGGAATTTCTGGAAGACATTTTTTGGTATACTAGTTTGCTGTTGCTGTCTTCTAACCTTTCAACTTGATGGTTTTGACCAATCGGCATTCATTACTTATTTTATTTCTCATAGTCTTTTCACCATTATTGGCACGGGATCATCTTCAAAGACCCATTCTTTGCTTTCTTGAAATGTTGGAACGTCAAATAAACTGTATGTACGTATCATTACCCGTTGCAATTTTAGAAATGATGCAGTGGGCACCATAATCTTGTATTTTAAGGGTTTCTTTGCTGATCCTGACAAGTTCCTCTTTTTGGTGTTCAGTTAGATTATGGGGAACCCAACGGCAAACTACTTTTTCCATATGTAATTCTTAATGAATAATTTTGTGTATATGGCTGCGGACCCAATGCTAATTTCCTTCTGTATCATTTGGTAGGTACAGCGATTATATCATCCATTAACATTTTTCGTATGTGTGTGTGTGTGTGACAGACGCGTTATCCAGGATAACTACCGACCGCGGGCTTCCTATGTGAAGAGAAGAGATCTTGTTCATCTTGAAGAGATTTGCGACCAGTAAAAAATTCTTTAAATCATCTGAATACAATAGCACGACATGTAGATTCATCCCCAAGTGCTAATTGCAGATATTGAACGCATTCATCTCAGTTTAATCCAGCTTTAAAAATCATAGAAAATCATAGCGCGATAATGTTCTCGCGTCAACTTCATTTTCTCTTCCGTCCAAAATTTATTCTACGCAAAACAAGTAGAAGTAAGTCCGTACAAAATCGTGTGCTGTGTTAAAATACTTTGCATTTTAAAACTAACCCGCTAATTTTTTTTTATAACATCTCGTCTGCTCGTATCTCAAGCATTTCAGAATTACCCTCGTTATAATACTGACAAAATTCATCCTAGCATTGGATGTCTTCTTATCTTGTGTTTTAACACACCCTTGCATATATATACATTCCACATACATATGAATAAACTAGTAAGAATTTTAGAAGGACCTGGTTGAAAATTTATGCTACAGTAACAAGAATATTTCTGTCATTGTTTGTTTAAAAAAATGTTTTAAAATGATGGCTGGTAATTGTTATCGATTCCGTGTGTGAATATTATTACTATTAAAACTTTTCGACAATATCAAAATTTCATAAATGACGGTGTTCCAAGACTTTTTAATTGAATAAAAACTGATCCTCGAAAACATTTTTTTTTTTTTTTATCAAACATAAAAGTTTTTCCGTTTGGAATGTTGGGTTTCCACCCACTTCATTCGAGCACGTTTCCGTAAGACAAACATTTTTCTTTCCGAAACCATCTGGTCTCGACGGGTCTTCAACTGGAGAAAAAAATGCCTAACTTCATTTGGAAAATTTAATTTCCTTTGCTAGGGAATTAAAGAGCAAAATGTATGAAAAGATTATGTTTACCAAAATCTAGCAACCTGCCAATAAAGAAATGATAAATTTATTTTATAATAGGTATACTCTACACAAAAATTTAGTTAAAGATTGGCGGATTGTAACTTTTTATGGCAAAAAACCGTTGGAACTTAATTTATACAATTCTTACACTGTTCCTCCATTTTATGTTACACTTTCGAATTTTCAAAAGCAGTAGAGTTGATAAATAACTCGCTTTTTTATTTAAAGAAGTGTTTGTTTTCAGAAAAGTGAATATGCGGGTTCAATAAAGATAGATTTTTCGAGCAAGCGAATCCAAATGGTTCGTTTTGTTGATGTGAGTCAATATTTGGAAATGCATACATAGATCTTTGCATTTTTTAATAAAATTTTCGTTTATCGCGTACACGGAAAAGGAGTGAAGCCTTCCTACACCATGATTCAAAAGTAGATGAAAAATAGTAATGAGAACGAATCGCAAAATTTACAGTCGTCACACTCGACTTTGATTGTGTAAGGAACAAATTCTCAATTTTTGAATTCTGTCCTTATTATACACCATTTAAAACCACATATCCAGTCTCACACATTTTCGAAATATGATCTAGAAAAAAGCCCAATATTCGTTAAATTTAAAATAATTGTCTTTGAAAACAAATACGGTCGCTGAAACAACATAGAGAAGCATCTTTTGCTTGGTGACTTATAAATAGTGTATTTATATTTGGATAATGAAGATGAATTTTGCTATGTAAAATCTTATAAACATTATATGATTTAAAATTAAAATTTTCTCTCATAAACATTTGAAATTAAAAATCTGTCGATTTGTTTCACTTAGGAGCTGCTGAATTATTTTCATAACACACTGTCTTTGTTTTTGAAATTAGAATGTCGTCATTTATGAATGTGTACCCTGTTGGGGCGTGTATTCGACACTTTGCTTTGCATGCTTCTTAAAAATTGGTGGGCTTGATCCATAAGCTTTCTCTTCGTTTCGATTTTTTCTACCTACATTTATTTTCCATTAGGATTTGGCGCATTCATGATACTTACTGTAAGTCAAATTGATATTAGGGAAGCAATAAGTAATCAAAGAGTTAACTTTTATACCAACCGTAGCTCGCATTGCTTTTTTTGTTGTTAGAAATATGTAATGCTACTCAGACTAATAAATTGTAGTTTGAAAAACCTATTTATCAAGAAGACTCTTCTAACGAAGATCTATTTATTTTTAGAAACATCTTAGAAAATGCTTTAGAGAATAAAAATTCTCAAAATTACGAGGGCTATTGGCGGAATGCCCAAGTGAACCGAGATCCCCCGAAAGAGCTGCTACCCCCCACGTTAAGTCTTTCTTAAACAAAATCTTAGTTTACATTTTTTACAGTAGCATACATATCACAAATTTAAGATTTTTTCACGAAATACATATGTAAATGCCAGGTGCAAACATACAAAGGACGGAACTTTGAGGATTGGAACTTTCACTTCATGCTAATTTGAGGATTTGGAGCCTGTACAGAGATTTAACGTGTCTTTCTACTGAGGGGTCTTCAGAGGCATGAGGATTCGAAACTACGAATCGACAACGAATTTGTGATCATAAACACGACGACCCAACTGTTTTGAATTAATTTAGATATTCTCATTACAATTTAAATTAATCTGAATAATTTTGTTTTTATTGAAATGTAAAGATAGCGTAGAAAGGAATCGAATGTGGAACTATTCCCATTTCGGTTTTACGTAGAACGGAACTGTATTTTTATGGGGGGGGGGATCTCTTTGATTTGTCGAGAATGCATATTTCTGTGACACATCTTTGCTAACTATTGGTTTACATGAAACAAGAAATATGGACAGTTCCTACAATTTTGTTTTTGTAGGACATGAAAGGTACTGCCCACCTTTCTTTCGATTTCAATCAGCAAAAAGATAAGTTGAATATATTGCAAGAGACTCGTGGCAGCATTTTTTTTTTACTTGTTTGAATTTCCCTTTCTATTTTATATTTTCTTTTGTTACCTGATCCCATTTCACTTGTATGTTGATGTCTAAATAATTTTTTATCTAGTTTGTATGCATTACTTTATTAAGTGTTTATGAAAATTTTGAGAGTTGAATGAAATGAAAATCCTCTCATCCCTGTGAAGTGAGCTAATGCATTTAAAAAGTACTTGTTACTATGGGAAGAATATAAAATACGTTTTCCCCTTTTGACCACAACACTAATCTTTGCCAGCGAATGTGTAATTTGCGCAGCATGAAGGGGTGTGGAGTGGTCTTATCTTTCGCTTCGTGTCTTGGCGATTAACTGAGCAAACGATGCACTTGGTATGTTTTTACGAGCATTTTTTTCCCTTTAAATTTTACAACACGAATTCGTTTTAAAGATAAAACTACATATTTCAGTTCCCGTTGAAACAGGATTGTGAATGTAAGCAAATTTACCTTTGTTAATTCGTTTAAAGGTTATTTCCTATGTCTATTCATCAAAAGCATTCGCAGTAAGTTTTGTGATAAAATATTTTCTTATAACTTGATCTAAGCCAAGTAATATCGAATAAATGCATCAGATAGTATGTATGCAATATTTTTCCAATTTCTCTACTAATAGTTCAGACTTTCAATATATATATATATATATCTTTTCCAAATTTTAAATCGTTAATAATATTACTTTCTATTCATCCATTCAAGTTCAAATACATTTTTTGAACTTGTAGTGTACATGATATTAATACAGTTTTTTCAAATATTAATTCATTGATTAAATTAAAAAGTGAATTGATAGTAACAAACACAAATATTAGTTAAACAGCATATATAGAAAGAAAAATCGTTCGTTGTGTTTCTGTAGCACAATGAATAGTGCGTTGGACTTCTAATCCAAAGGTTGTAGGTTCGAATCCCACTTGGGATATCCTTATTTCTGAGAATGTGATTTCTTTTTTATTTTATTAGAATAATTAAATGTGTAATTAATGAATAAAAGCAACAAATAAGAAAAAATAGTCCAACACCATACATATATAAAAAAGAAAATTGCTTTCTATTTTGTCACTCAATATTGGGATTCTGTCATATGTGTATATACTTATTTATATATTAATTTTAACTATTTGATAAAAAGTAACTAAAATAACATTTTTCTTTGTTGATCAAAATAGGAATTGACTTAAAATTTTTTTTTATATATTACTTGTTCTACTTTTTTATAGAGAAAACTAGCCTCAATATGTTTGTCTATGCAACCATTTAAAAACGGTCAACATCCATCGAACCAAAGGAGTCCTGCGCTTTAAATGTTTCGAGACTTAAAATCCTCTCGTTGGGGTGGTGTGGCTGTTTGGAAAAAGGGCTGCCTGCGCAAGTGTCGTTTGATCGAGATTCAGAATGCCAAAGTTCATTGCTGGAAGCTCTCTTGTTTCTCGTTAGTGCGAAGTGAATAAACGATCTAATCCAATCGATAGTGTGAATAGGATTTTGATTGGATAGACTGAAAATTATTTAGTTCAAATTGAAACGTAGCCGTGGCAGCACACAAGGTCGCGAGTTCGTGACCGGTGCTTTTCCCATCGAATCCAACAATCCGCTGTACAGAAAGGCTCAAGAACATTAAATCGTTCGAGACTCAAAATGTTTTTCCAGGCATAGTGAGGAAATTTGGGGAATGGGGTGCTATTAATAGTATTTTCCCCATAAAAATTCACAACTGCTTTTGTATACTTAAAAAATTGCATAACACAGAGGTAAATGCAGAGATTTTGAAAAATTCCATTAGTTATATTTTATTGCATTCACGATCTATATTTGAAAAATAATTATTTGTAATTAATATTTACACAATAGTAATCAATATTTTACACAATACCTAGTAGGCAAGTGGGTTGAGCATAACATTGATGAGTTTACTTTGGTGAATCGATCATACAATATTTTTACCCCAGAGCGAAACTGATTTATGCAATGCGAATTGCTCGCCATTGTCTTTCTTAAAAAACTTTTCAATATTTCATGAAACTAACTCCGAGATTTATTTATTCCTGAAATTTAAGTGATGCAGGTTTTAATATGGTTTCACGTTTTATGTATTGGAGTTTAATACATGTGTCTTTCTAATTATTTATTTTATTCAATGCTAAACTTTTGTCTTGGACATATCGCATTACACTTTCGAACGGGGAACGCTCTTCCTTCTACCCCTTCATTTTCCCTAGTAATAAAATGTAATTAATAGCTCCCTATTATTAATTTGAGAGAAAGAGTATTTTTCCTTCCTAAGGGGAGGATAGTGACTATGGAAATTTATACCGGAGATAAACGGTGAATTTGGCTAACGAACACAGTACCAGTTAACGAGGAATTCTGCTGCCGGACGGTCTCATTATAAAAAGTCGTTAGTTGTTTGCTTCGGTCCCGATGCATCTGTATTGAGTGCTAAGGTTAGAACAATGAGTTTACTTTTTTGTTGTTCTCATTTTTCCTTTCTTGCCGAGCGCAATTTGTTTTCTGAAAATGAGATTTTTAAAAGATAAATAAATTTTTTTTAACTAATGCTTCTAATAACTGAACACTACCGAGAAGTTTTGGGTCCTAGTTAAAAATGAATTTTAACTTTTAGCGTGTTAATGCAAAAGAATTCGTACTAATGAATAGTTTTTGTTTACGCAAATAGAATAATTTCTGGAATCGGAGGAAATGTGTTCATAATTATAAAACCGTGAGTGTATTCATTGAGTGAAGTTCAAAATGTTTAAGTTGTAAAAAAATAAAAATGTTAAACAACGGAACGATTTTCAATTATGAAAAAGAAACAATTAAAATTTGCCCTAGTTGATAATTATGTAAAATGCATTGCTTCAAAAAAGTGTGCCCCGTACGACGATAAAAAAAAGATTTTTTTAGCGGGTAGAAGAAACATATTGCTTAGATTCACGTGAGATGATCATTAAATGCCATTCGCGTGTATCTGAACGAAATTAAATTGAAAACTTTGTATTGCTGTCTAATTTTTTGAAGCTTTTAATCTGTTGATCAAAATATTCAGAAATAAAAAGTGAAATTACTGTATGAAATAATTTATTATAAAATATTGTTAAAGAATATTGCCATACATTTTAAAGCATAGTAATTCTGTAAATTACGATAGATGGAACGCTACATTTCCTGTTTCTTCAATTAACAACTGAAATAATGTACTAAAATGAATACTTTAAAATGAAATATAGAAGAGAGGAAATAAGAGATCGCTATATATACATAAATATATATATTGGGGTTGTTAAAGGGATTTTCATTTCTTTTGAAACTGCAATTTTATCGTAAATTCTAACAACTATATTTTGCATACATAAAAATATTTAAATTTTCGTGAAATTTTCACACATGTAAATAACGGAACATGTCCTCAAATAAAGTTTTTAAGAATTGAAAGTGAAACTTCTGTCTTAAAACATGTGTCGGGCCAGGTAGAACATAGAAGCAGGGCATAATCCTTTGATAAGGGTTTACGAATGGATGTTTCTATTTTTTCCCTCAGACACTTGTTTTACTGAGAAACACATATTAAAGTCTTAGATTATTTGTCTAGAAGATTTTTGGAGACTTTCTGAGTGTCAATAGGGTCGAGGTATAAAGTGCTTGCAAAATATGTAAAGCCATGTGTTTTGTATTTTTCTTAGATTTTTATTTGTTTTGAGGCTGGAAAATAATATCATAACAAATTCTTTTCGGTTTTTATGATAATGACACGTTAACATTCTTCTAATTAAAAATTTTGGGGACCATTTCAAGGCATAAATCTCGGCTGTGTATTGAATTAACTCTGAAGAAATCATGATTCAATGGGATTCTGTCACTACATTACGCCAAGATAGGATAGCAAGCAAAATATATATGTATGATTATATTTTACGTTTGGACTTCGTAAAACAGTGTATTGCTATTTGTAGAAAAATAAATGCAGAAATAAACAAAATACTGAAACGTTTTGTGCTAAACATTAATTCATGTAACAGCAAAAAAGAAGATAGTTTTTTGAGAAAGGAAAATTTTTCGGAGAAAAATATAATTCAAACAACTCAAGAAACCGGAGATTCTGAATTCTTTTATTGTAGTTCTTATGAAGATAAAATAAGATATGAATAAATATAAATGAGCATAGGAAACGTTTATCTCTTCACATATTATGCACATTACTCACCCTGAACCGTCGTAAGCAGAATAAAAATGCAATAGGGAGTAAAAAAATTTAAGAAATTTTCCTCCCCATCTTTTAATAATTAATCTCATGTCTAATTAAAGAAATATTTTTAAAAAACTTGTTTTTTGCAATTGAAACCTTTTTCGTCCAAGTGACATCCTGCAGCAGGATCGTTGAAGAAATTTTCAGCGATCGTAATCCATATTTCAAAACTTATTGCGTTTACTCACTCAGCTCCAGAGATCCATCTAGTATCCATGATATCCTCTGAGATACCAGTTTGGGGACAGTAAAACGCAATTTTACATCGACTGTTCACGCAATGACAACTTTTTCAACATCTTGCTCACTTTCGTCAAGAACCTGGTAATCGGAGTCAACTTTTGGCAATGCGTTTAATTTGGAAAACATCCCTTCTTGAAATTGGACCAGACCAAATTACTTTAGCTGTCGAGTTTCTTCGTCTAAGAGAATATCTTTCGTCAACGGAAGAAATACGGAAAAATTCTACACTTCTATTTTTACACAAAAAAGCTATACTTGCTTTATAAAATAGACCGTATATATATAGTCTAGAAGCAAGCTTTATATATATATATATATAGGATATCCCATGGAACTCTTTTTGTAAAAGGTTAGATCATATCTCCCTTTGCAGAGGACGGCAATGTTAGTCAAAACAACATTCCACAGCAACGCCATCTAGCGTGCTTATTAAAACGCCAACATCCACCTTTTTTGGCTGAGGCCCACTAACACTCGACAACGAAGCAGCGTTTTCACGCCCGCTCTCCAAAACTAGGCGGTAAGTTACAATGCATAATGAGTTTTATTCAATCTCTAACGTACTTCTAGAGGGAATTATCTTATTTTCCCTATATTTTTAAATGTCTGCATGTTCTAATTTCTATTTTGTAAATATTACCTCTATAAATACTCTCCTATAACTCATAATAAATTATTTAGTTTCTTTAAATTATGTTGCCTAAAACTCCTAGACACCCTGCCAAATAAAAACCCCGCTATCTCAAGAATCTAACTTTTTTGGAAGATTTCGGTTAGATTCCCATATATGTGTGCAAATAATAGTAGTTATTTGTTAATGAAAAAGTTTTTCTGAAATTATGAATTTATAAAAAATGAAACACAAGCAAAAAGAATACAGGCGTGCAGAATATTTATGATTCTTATGAAAAATGTTATCATCATGGTCTTGTAAACCACATTCCACTCTATCAAATACATGGCAAGTACTTTTGTGGTCTAGCCAGTATTATGATATGTAATAAACGTATTATGCTGAATATTTCGAGTTTTTAATATGTAATTATTAACAATGAATCGCAAGCATTCTCTTACTGTTGATTGGGATAAAAACAATAAATCTCAGGGAGCCACGATAAAGTGACGAGGATGACACCCTATCATCACCATGCTAACGTGGTGACTGAGGTTTCACAGATTTAAGGAACATCACAGCGCCTTTGCACCGCAGGTTCTTAGTATTCGAACTTCGATTTGACAGAACGCAGGGCTCGTGTTTATGATCATAACCACTGCTTCAAAATATGTATGATTACAAAGCACTAAATATACATAATAAGGGCATATAATAGTCTATATTAATTTAATTGATATAATTTTATAAGTATGTTTTCATATAAATAAGCATTTTTTGCACTTAGATTTCGGATCGGGAGGTAAAGTTTTCAAACAAA